GGAGTGGGGATTGGGTGAGAGTCTGGGGGAACTGAAGGGGGAGGCGGGAAGAGGAGGGGGAGAGAGAGGGAGCTGGGATTGACATGTGAAGCAAGCTTGTTTCTAATTTAAATTTAAAAATAAGAGTAGGGTTCAGAGGGTGTGCATCCGTTGAAAGAGCTCTTGCCTGGCATGCAAGAACCTCGGATCAGTTCCTTGGCACTGCCGGAAATTGTGTGTGGTGGTGCACACACACACTCATAATCCCAGCAAGAAGGCAGTGGAGTCAAGAGGATCAGAAGTTCAAAGTCATCCTCAGAAACATGGCAAGTTTGCAACCAGGCTGGGCTCCAAGTAATCTTGTCTCAAATAAACAAAGAATTCGGCTCAGAGGGGATTGTGGGTGGCCTCAAACACTTGCCCCAGGCTGCAGACAAGTGGACCTCCTGTTCCTGCCTTGGTTTCCCTCCCTCCCCCACAAATCCTCCACTGTACCCCTTGTTTTAGGAATCACTCAAGTCTTAGTGTCCACTCTGCTCTGGGGAACCCAAGTTAAGAAAATAACACTGGGACAGGGCTGGAGAGATGGCTCAGAGGTTAAGAACATTGACTGTTCTTCCAGAGGACCTGAGTTCAATTCCCAGCAACCACATGGTGGCTCACAACCATCTGTAATAAGATCTGGCACCTTCTTATGGCCTGCAGGCATACAGACCGGCGTTGCATACTAAATAAATAAATCTAAAAAATGTTTTTAAAAAATAAAGAAAATAACACTGGAAAGCTGGAGAGATGACTCAGAGGTTAAGAGCACTGGCTGCTCTTGCAAAGGTCCTGAGTTCAATTCCCAGCAACCACGTGGTGGCTCACAACCATCTATAATGAGGTCTGGTGCCCTCTTCTGGTGTACAGGTGTATGTGTAGGCAGAACACTGTAAATAAACAAAAAGAAGCCAGGCGGTGGTGCACACCTTTAATCCCAGCACTCGGGAGGCAGAGGCAGACGGATCTCTGTGAGTTCGAGGCCAGCCTGGTCTACAAGAGCTAGTTCCAGGACAGCCTCCAAAGCCACAGAGAAACCCTGTCTCGAAAAACAGAAAAAAAAAATTAAAAAGAAAAAAAAAAAAACACTGGGCACTGGAGAGATGGCTCCGAGTTTACCAGCACTGGCTGCTCTTGCGGAGGACCCAGCATCCACATGGTGGCTCACAACCATCTAAGAGTCCAGTTCCAGGGGTCCAGATGCCGTCTTCTGACTTCCATAGGCGCTGAGTACTTATAGTACACATACATACACGCAGGCACTCACACACATACACAAAAAATAAAAATGAACAAACATTTTAAAAAGCACCTCATCGGCCGGCTGGGCATGACGAGGCACAACTTTAACCCCAGCACTCAGCAGACAGGTGGACCTCCGTGAGCTCCAGGCCAGCCAGGAGGTGACATAATGAAACCCTGTCTTGTAGAAGGAGGAAGAGAAGAAGAATCTGCGAGTGTTTTACAACACACAGTGTGGCCTGGTCTTGGGAGCATAGCACGAAGGTGTGGCCTGGTCTTGGGAGCACAGCACTGAAGGTCCTTGAGCTCACAGATCTCCAGAGAAACCGGGAATGAAAAGTACATCTTTCCAGGGAGAAAGATGGAAAACCTGTTCTTCCCTCCAGAAAGCTGAGAACTGGACGTGATTCACAGCCCGGTGATCTGTGTCATCTGCTGGGCCAGCCGGTATCAAGCTCCTACAACCAGGAGCGAGGATGGCTAGTATCAAAATGACCCCTAGAGCCAGAGGCTCCCCCAGGTTCCCACAACCAGGACCAGAGGTGGCTAACAGCCCAAATGACCTCTATGCTATATGTGTATGACTCAGACCAGGCTAGCCCCTTAAGCCCTTAAGCTAATACAGGTAGCTTATCTCTAGAACCCATCATGGAGTGAGTGACCTTACCCTGAGTTGAGTTTCAATGTAATTAAGTTTCCTTGTGCAATGGGGATTGCGCAAGGAAACTTTTCCCAAAGTATACTGTGTTTAAATACATTGAGAATAAATGATCTGTCATTAGAATCCCTGAAATCTGATCCAGGTTAACAAAGTCAATATTCACCAGGTTTTCAATCTTATCTCTTCACGGGGTTTGTTTCTCTGTCTGACACCTGCAGGAAACACCTCTACCTGGAACTGGGCAAGCCTGCCACCTACAGTTTTACTGGCCATGAATGTTTTATATGCCTTTGTATGGCTTCTTTCACTCAGCGTGGTTTGGAAGCACATCTGCATTCTGTCATGTGTCCACGCTTTGTTGTTTTAGGATGGGCTAACGTGCTATGACATATATAAATATATATATATATATATATATCGTCCACACATGAAATGACAAAGCAGTCAAAAGATCATTGGCTTTATTTTTATTTCTAGAAGTGGGTGAAGCTTCATTCCACACTACAGAAGCAAGTGTTCTGAGACAGGGCTGTCTTCAGAGACGGGCAAGGGCTGAGGAAAGCAGAGCAGGGGCCAGAGAGACGCTCAGTGTGTCCCTGCTGCCAAGCCAGCCAAGCCAAGCAATCTCAGTTCGATCCCCAAGACCTATGGGGTGGTAGGAAAGAAACATGTCCCTAAAGTTGTCCTCTGACCCCAGCCTGAGTACCCAAAGCACATGGACTGCACACAGCGCACATGGGTGCACAAAGAAAATACCACAGAGCGGAAAGTGGATTGACGGCTCCAAAATGCTTCCCTTGTTAGGCAAGGTCAGGGAGACACAGGGAAAACCACAGTGGGTAGAAGAACACCAGGTTGCTTTAGGTCACTTCTGTAAACGGATTAAGGCAGGAGGAACTTTGCCCAATCGAAGCTGTCCAGTTTGGGAAATTGGATTGTGATCTCTTTAATCCTGATGTCTTTGCTAAGACAAAGGGTTCATTTTGTTTGGTTGGTGTGGCACTGGAGTGTGACTCCATATTGATTTTTGTTTTTAGCCTGGTCTGTTGTGGCCTAGTGGAAGAGTTTAGTGCAAAACACGAGCATCTTGCAGTTTTAATTAACAGCGTGAGCCAGGCATGGCGGTGTGCACCAGGCGCCCTGGTTACAGGGGAGGCCAAGGAGAGCCACCTCATTCAGGAGCTAGAAGCCAGCCTGAGAATACAAGACTCCATCTGCGGGCTGGGAGAGTGACAGTGTATAGCATGCTTTTGCTTAAGCTCATTCATCCATAATTTCCATCTTTTGTTATTAACCAGCATGCCGTTAGGAAACTTTGTGTAATTATTTGTTCCTATCTTTAGAACTTTTTTCTACATTTTCTATGTGTGCCACATGTATGCATACATGTGGAGGTCAGAGGAAACGTGGAGGGAGTTGGTTCTCTCCTTCCGTGATACGAGGACCAGGGATTAAACTCGGGTCCTCCGGCTTGACAGCAGGTGCCATTGCAGAGGCAGCCAGCCCAGCAGTCTGTTTGGATGGCCATTTTCTCTTCTTTGCATGCCTACAAATGGAAATCATTGGGTCATATGATAATTCTGTGTTTAACTTTTTCCATAAACTGTTGATAGATTTTCTTTTTAGGGAGGCCTCACTATGTGGATTAGGTTGGTCTCAAACTCACAGAAATTCACCTGCCTCTGCCTCCTCTGCAGGGATCAAAGGCATGTAGTAACACAAATGACCCACTGATATTGTTGTTGTTTTCTCATTTGTTATTTTTTAAAGATTTATTTATTTATTATGTATACAGTGTTCTGTCTGCATGTATCCCTGCATGCCAGAAGAGGGCGCCGGATCTCATTATAGATGGTTGTGAGCCACCATGTGGTGGCTTGGAATTGAACTCAGGTCCTGTGGAAGAGCAGCCCTAACCACTCTGAGCCATCTCTCTAGGCCTGTTGTTTGTTTGTTTGTTTGTTTGCAGGGTTTTGTAGCAGGCTTTCTTTGGTCACCAACCAAATAACACAGAGACATTATTATGAGTGCTCGGCCGTATGTTATGCGTGCCCCACTCGGTCTTATAAGTTAACCTGTTTCTCTTCATCTACGTTTTAGCTCTGGACTCTTTACATTTCTTTTGATACTAATCTGTGTATTGCTGGCTGGAGGCTGCCTGGCTGCCTGGCCCCTGGCACTTCTTTCTCTTTCTCCCTTATTCTTTTCTCCCTCTTTCTCTCTTCCTGCCAGCCCCACCCATCCCTTCTCTGCCCAGTTATTGGCTGTTCAGCTTTTTATTAGACCAATCAGGTGCCTTAGGCAGGCAGGGTGAAACAGCAACACATCTTTACATAAACAAATACAGCATAAACAAATGCAACACACCCTTACATAGTTAAAGTAATATTCTGCAATATAAACAAATGTAAAACATCTTTACATGGTTAAAGTAATATGCCACAACAGGGTTTCTCTGTGTAATGGCTCTGGATATCCTGGAACTTGCTTTTTGGACCAGGCTGGCCTCGCACTCACAGAGATACACCTGCCTCTGCCTCCCAAGTGCTGGGATTAAAGGTATGACCACCGCCTCCCATGCGGTGTTTTTTTTTTTAAAGACAGGACCTAATATACTCAGGTTGGCTTCAAACTCACTGTTGTAGAATGCTGACTGATCAAAAATGATAGACATTGCCATCTCCTGTGGCAGCAAAATGTTAAGACAACCAAGACTGGGCCTGTTGAGCAAAGAGACGGCTTAGGGCTTTACAGCATTGGCTGCTCTTGCAGAGAACCTGGGTTCAGCTCCCAGCACCCACATGGTGGCTCAGAGCCGTCTGTGACTCCAGTCTCTGGGGATCCAGTGCCTCCCTTTTAACCCCCAGGGGCACAGGGGCATTGGGTACACGTGTTGCACACACATGCAGGCAAAATGCCATACACATACGTAAATTAAAAAAAAAAAAACTTTAAAGCCATTGAACCTGTTGACAATTCCTTCCCGGAAGGAGAGACAGATCTTACAGCCTCACCTGAGAGTCCAGCTGCTCTAACACTCCCAACAGCTGTGTGTAATTCTATCTACCGGCACGTGGTTTTATGCTCTTGGGGTTAACTGAAGGGAGACTCATCTATGCAGCTCTGGGGACATTTCCATCCATGCTGGAGTAGACTCCCCAGTGACTCGGCTGTTTGGGGGGTCATCCACACTCCTGTAAGTAACCGACCATCCCTGCTCTCTGTAAGTGACTGATCACCCACTTTCTGTAAGGATAGCCTCGAAATTCTCATTTTCTCCCTGCCTCTATCTTCCGAGTGCCGGAATTACAGCGCACATGTCAGAAACGCCTGAAACACCTGATCCGTGTGGTTCCGGGGACCAAATGCAAGGCCTCATTGGATGCTTAGGCAAACGTTCTACTGACTGAACGGCACGCCTACTCCCGCTTTATTTAGTTTTTCGATAGCCAGTCTCACTGTGTAGTCCAGGCCGACCTCAGTCTCTGTTTTTCTTATTGGAGCAGTTCCTGTCATGCGTGTGTGTGTGTGTGTGTGTGTGTGTGTGTGTGTGTGTGTGTGTGTGTGTGTGACTGGTCAGTTATACAAATGAATGCGGAGGCAGAGAGGATAAAAGACCCATTGAGAGGAAGCTAATTTGCCTGAAGATTCCCACTGACATTTGCTTAGTCTGAGTGACAGCACGGCAAAAGGAACAGCTTGTCCTAAATCTTTGGAATGACCTCTGTCATAACATCATGCTTGAAAATCGCCCCTAGCCTAAGACACTGGCTGGTGACTGTGAATTGATTAAGATGAAGAGAGCAGCTCTCCAAATGAGCATTTCTCTAACGTGTCTCCACTCAAGCCTTTCCAGGTCACTAATTGGCCATGTTTTCTTTAAAAGGAAAATGTAATGAGGGGAAATATTGGGTGCAGTGTACAGTAAACATCCCCAATTTGACATCCACAGAGAAGGGGCCACTTGGCATAAATGAACGTTCTAGAAAACTTGAACTGACTCCCGGAAGCTCCCATTATAAATACATTAAAAGTTTCAGACAATGCTTCCCCCCAACCAAGACAGAGTCTCATTATGTAGCTGTGACTGCCCTGGAACTCGCTCTGTAGACCAGGCTGGCCTTGAACTCACAGAGATCCACCTGCCTCTACTTGGGACTGCTGAGTACTGAAACCACCATGCTTGGTTTCAGAAAAAACTTTCTAAAACAGTGTGATCTGTCTGTCTGTCTCTCTCTCTCTCTTTCTGTCTCTATCTTTGTCTCGTGTGCATGCATGTGTGCATGTGCGTGTGTGTGTCTGTCTGTCTCTCTTTTTCTCTGCCTCGTGCGTGTGTGTGTCTGTCTGTCTGTCTCTCTGTCTCATGTGTGTGTGTGTGTGCGCACCTGTGTGCGTGCGTGCATGTGTGTGTGTGTGTGTCCCCAGGGGTCAATGTTGGATGTCTCCCTCCATCTCTCTCCACCTTAGATTTTGAACAGGGTTTCTCACTGAACCTACAGCTGGCTGACTTGACTAGCCAGGCTGGCCAGAAAACCCCAGGTATCTTCCTATCTCCGCACCCTCAGCCCTAGGGTTAAGGTGCGTGCTATCACACATGCCCAGCTGTTTTACATGGATGCTGGGGCTCTGGTCTCAGGTCTTCATGGTAAGCACTTTACCTTCCCCAGACCTCCCGCCTTCTAAACAGAGGAACACGATGGGGAAAGGACCTGCTGGACACTCCATGAGCCCCACTGCGACACTGAGGGCTTGAGGGGAGCCGCTGCCTGCAAAGCCTAGAAAAACTGCCAGGTGACTTCTGTTCAGTCCACCTCCCAGAGGCAGTCAGCTGTCCCAGATTGGGAATGCAGAACCCTGGGGTGGTTACAGCCCATGTCTGAAAGACCAGGCAAAAACCTACTCTCGCTCGCATTGCCTGCCAATAGCAGGTGGCTTTTTAATTAGCACCGTGAAAGCTGAGAATAGTTTTCCTATGATGAAATGAGCTGCATTCAAGGCCAACATGCCAGCACAGAACAGACTGGAGACACTCCCGTTCTGTGTGAGCCAGAAGAACCCAGTGAAGCCCAGTGTAATTTATTTTTAAAAGATTCTATTTATTTTTATGTACATTGGTGTTTTGCCTGCATGTATGTCTGTGTGAGGGTATCAGATCCCCTGGAACTGGAGTTAGAGACAGTTGTGAGCTGCCATGTGGGTGCTGGGAATTGAACCCTGGTCCTCTGGAAGAGAAGCCAGTGCTCTTAATTGTTGAACCTTCTCTCCAGTCCTAATTTTATTTTTTTAAGAAAGGGTCTCACTATGTATCCTTAGTTGTTCTTGAAGCCACAGAGATCCAATTGCCTCTGTTTCCCTAGTGCCAGAATTAAAGGTGTGCACCGCTAAGCCTAAGCAACAGCTTTCATTTTTGAGTAGCCGTGTTTTAAAAAGTAAACACATACACACACACACACACACACACACACACACACACACACACACACACACACACAAGCTAAGTGTGGTGGTGCACACCTACAGTGTCAGCTACTCAGGAGGCAAGGGCAGAAGATCAAGAGAGCCCAGGAGTTCAAGACCAGCCTGGATAAGACAGGATAATTCTCTCCTCAAATAAAAAGCAAGTCAGATACGATGGTGAACCCGAGGCTAAAGGATCTTAAATTCAAAGTCAGCTTGGTCTATAAAGTGGGGCTCTGGGTTGGTTGGTGTTTTTTGTTGGGGGGGCAGTGACCATTGGTTTTTACAGGGTGTTTTTTTTTTTTTTTTTTTGATTTTTGAGACAGGGTTTCTCTGTGGCTTTGGAGGCTGTCCTGGAACTCGCTTGGTAGTCCAGCCAGGTCTCGAATTTACAGAGATCCGCCTGCCTCTGCCTCTGCCTCCCAAGTGCTTGGATTAAAGGCGTGCGCCACCAACGCCCAGCCAGCCTCCAACTCACTGAGATCCGCCTGCCTCTGCCTCCCTCAAATGCTGGAATTAAAGACACACGTGGCCACATCCAACCAGGTTCATTCTGTCTTTAATAATGTGTATGGATATGTGTCTGTGCATAGGGATATGCGCATGTGTGGGTGCCCTTAGGGGACTGAAGATGGCACTGGATCTCTGGGAACTGGAGTCACAGGAGGCGGTGAGTCACCAAACATGGGCCCTGGGAACTGAACCTGGATCTTCTGTAGGAGCACTGTGTACTCCTAACCGCTGAGCCGTCTCTCAGCCTCAAAAGGCATTTTCTTTTTTCTTTCTTTCTTTCTTTCTTTCTTTTTTTTTGGGGGGGCACAGAGTTGGAGACAGGGTTTCACTGTGTAGACCTGGCTGTCCTGGAACTCACACTGCAAATCAGGCTGGCCTCGAACTCAAAGATCTGCCTGCCTCTGTTCCCTGAGTGCTGAGATTAAAAGAGTACACCATCGAGCCGGGCATTGGTGGCGCACGCCTTTAATCCCAGCACTCTGGAGGCAGGGGCAGGTGGAACTCTGTGAGTTCGAGGTCAGCTTGGTCTACAGAGATAGTTCCAGGACAGCCTCCAAAGCTACAGAGAAACCCTGTCTCGAAAAACAAAAAAAAAAAAAAAATTTTATTATGTACACAGTGTTCTGCCTGCATGTATCCTGCACGCCAAAAGAAGGCACCAGATCTTACAGATGGTTGTGAGCCACCATGTGGTTGCTGGGAATTGAACTCAGGCCCTTCGGAAGAGCAGCCAGTGTGCTTAACCTCTGAGCCATCTCTCCAGCCCTTCATCTTTCAGTATTTATTTTATGTGTACAGTGTTTGCCTGCATGTCTGTCTGTGTGTCTGTGCACCACACGCTGTAGTGGCCACAGAAACCAGAAGAAAGTGTCAGATCCCCAGAAGTGAGTTATAGACAATCATGAGTTGCCATGTGGGTGATGGGAATTGAACCTGGGTCTTATACAAGAGCAACCAGTGCTCTCAACCCACTGAGACACCCTGAAAGGAAGGGTGTTTTGGACCCATCTTAGAGATGAACAAAGTAAGGCCCAGAGGCATCAACCTTCCCAGGCAACACAGAGGTAGCAGTTCCAGAGCCAGGGAATACAGGCAGCCCAAGATCTCCTGCTTGGAGGTGGGTGTCCCTCCTGCACATTCTGTACGCTCACAGCTGTCCTCCTACCGGGAGCTTCCTGACCCAAGGCAGCCCCAATAATCCCTGCCGATGTCTGGATGCTAAGGATCAACCTTGTCTAGTTTAGAACCAGCGTCCCTACGGGTTCAGCCTCCTGCCTCAGTTTCTCCTTCTGCCCAGCCCTGCCTTCACCACTGCCTTGAGTGTCTCTCCTATCACAGGGACCCAGGACAGCAAGCCTCCACACCCTTGCCTAAAGACTCCTCCCTCCACAGGCAGGGAGTGGCTGCAGTCTGCAGTGTGTCTGCCGGGTCAGAGAGAGGGAACCTGGACAGACATTTCCCACGTGGACAACACTCTCATTCCACGTGTTTGCCAGATGCCGAGTGGCCTCTGCTCTGCTGACCACGGAGCCTTTAGAGGCTCAGAAGAGACTTCTAAGGGAAACACAGCCATGGGTGACACACACACACACACACACACACACACACACACACACACACACACACAGCGCAATCAGGAAGAGTAACATTGCCATGGCATTTGAGGAGCCCCTAAGTAAAAAGATGTGGGTTTTTTTGTTTTTTGTTTTTTTTGTTTTTTTTTTTGCTTGTTTCATTCTGTAGTCTCCTTAACTACCCTAGTCAAGCCCCAATCACTCCATCCTCCTGTCTCAGTCTCACGAGTGGGGGATTACAGGCTTGCATCCCATTGACAAGGTCAAAGATCTTCCAGAAACCTTAGTCACCCTAGGACTTGGGGACAGTTTCCTTTTTTTTTTTTTTTTTTTTTTTTTGGTTTTTCCGAGACAGGGTTTCTCTGTGGCTTTGGAGGCTGTCCTGGAACTCGCTTGGTAGTCCAGGCTGGTCTCTAACTCACAGAGATCCGCCTGCCTCTGCCCCTGCCTCCCGAGAGCTGCGCCCGGCAAAAAGTCACATTGTTCCCATACCGGGAGTCGAACCCGGGCCGCCTGGGTGAAAACCAGGAATCCTAACCGCTAGACCATATGGGAGAGACGCTTTCAACCAGCCCAATCTTGGCAACTGGACACCAAGTCCTCAACCTGCCTCCCTGTGCCCAGGTATCCTGAATCCACTTGGGTCCCCTGGGCTGCCACTGTCAACCTCTCAAGCATGAGCTGTCCTTGAGTAGATTCCGAGGCCGACTGCAAAGGCAGCCCAGTTCTTATGACATCTGCCTGGAAGCCTAAGGGTTAATAACTAGAAACCTCCTTACTTAGCCTGGCCTCTGCCATGCACAGCCTGTGGTCACCTGACCTTTGGCTCCAGGGGGCCTTCTGGGTAAATTCTGAACAGCTTTTCCAGAGCAGTCAGAGGAGCTTTGGGGATATGCCTTATCTCCAGAGCCCGGGTCTTCTCTGCATAGTCAGGGGACAAATCCTAACTCTTGACAAACTCCAATAAAAGCGGGCCCTCCCCAACTCCCTTTGGTGTCCCCTTAGGGTTGCAACTCAGAATCTCTGGGGCCAGAGGAAGAAGCAGGGAGGAAAACCCAAGTAGACCTCACCCCCCCACACTCCGATCTTTCTCTCCTCCAAGTCCCCAACTCAGAGCTGCCCCAGGAAACAAAACATCCCTCAGTCCTTTCCCAATTATACCATTTGACTTTATTTTATTTTTTGGTTTTTCGAGACAGGGTTTCTCTGTATTGTTTTGGAGGCTGTCGGTTTGACTTTATTTTATTAATACGAGGATTTATTCACCAAATGTGTTTTTATTTACTTATGTGTATGATGCCTAGTGTCTACACAGCAGCCAGAAGAGTGCATCAAACCCCCCCACCCCCGAGAAGGAGCAACAGACAGTCCTAAGCTGTGATGTAAGTATGGGGTACTGAACCCTGGTCCACTGGAGGGGCAGCTGGTGCCCTTAACTGGATAGCCATCCCTCCAGCCCTTACACCCATTTATTATACCTGATTTGTGTAGATGCCAGAAATTACACAGTACAGGGATGCCTGCTGGCAATAGCCGCAAAAGCGATAACAATCACATAAAAATCACAGGCGCTTTGTACCCAGTGGCAAGCACTGGGAGTGCTGGGAAGTGAACCCAGGACCTCCAGAAGAGGAGTCAGCGCTCTTAACCACTGAGCCATCTCTCCATACCAGAAGTCAGTGCTCTTAACCACTGAGCAGATCTCCAGACCAGGAGTCAGTGCTCTTAACCAATGAGCCATCTCTCCAGCACTGAGAGATTTTCAGTTATACATACATGTGGGCACACACACCCATGCAGATGCCCATGGGAGACCAGAGGCATCAGATATCTCTGCAGCTGGAGCTACTAGTAGTTGTGAGCTACCCAGTGTGGTGGCTGATAACTAAACTTGGGCTCTCTGCAAGAGCAGTGTGCACTCTTTTTTTTTTTTTTTTTTTTTGGTTTTTCGAGACAGGGTTTCTCTGTGGCTTTGGAGGCTGTCCTGGAACTAGCTCTTATAGACCGGGCTGGTCTGGAACTCACAGAGATCCGCCTGCCTCTGCCTCCCAGTGCTGTGATTAAAGGCATGCGCCACCAATGCCAGGTGCGGTGTGCACTCTTAATGTTGAGCCATTTCTCCAGCCCTGAAAGCAAATTTTTATTGGGCTGGCATATGAAATAGAAACTAACTGTTATGCATCAAACACTTGTACAAACTTTTTTCAGTACCAGGTGTTATGCTCATGGTAGGCAAAAGCCATTAGGCTCACCCCTAGCTCTCAGGAACAGTTTCTTTTTGGGGTTTGGAGTGTTGTGGGTGGAGCCTAGGCCATTGCCCATAGGAGGCAAGTACTTACCACTCAGCTACGAGCCTCCCTCCCTTGTCTGTGGCTTTGTTTTTGAGAAAAGGTCTTGCTATATAGTGTAGGGTGGTCGCAAACTCACCTTCCTCCTGCCTCAGACTCCAAGAGGACTGAGGTTTACAGGAAGGTACTATCACACCAGACAGCTTTATAAATTAACTTTGCTTGTTTTTTGTTTTTTGTTTTTTTTTGTTTCTTGAGACAGGGTTTCTCTGTGCAACAGCCCTGGCTGTCCTAGAACTTGCTCTGTAGACCAGGCTGACCTGGAACTCAGAGATCTGCCTGCCTCTGCCTCCTGAGTGCCAGGATCAAAGGCGTGTGGCACCACCGCCTGGCTAGACCGGCATGTTTTGGAGTGGCCTTTTCCGATCTCAGCTTTACCTTCCCAGCAGGTTGTGTTGATGAGATCTGGGGAACTGCTTTGAGACTGTTTCTATTTCATTTAAATAGGGAACAAATTTGACTGATTTGTCTGCTCTGTCCTGGCCTTTGTGAACTTTTCAGGCAGACAAGTGTCTCCCAACTTTAGACAAGTTATGCCTCCTTGTGATTGAAACCGGGACTGAAAGTCAAGAGTAGCCGCCCTGATCCCAGTGACCACAAGGGGGCGGCCGAGGCTCTGCGTCCGCATGTAGAGGTCAGAAGTGTCCTCGGTTGCTCTCTGCCTTCATTTTCTTTGTTAAACTTTATTCCATTTATTATTTGTGTGTGTGTGTGTGTGTGTGTGTGTGTGTGTGTGTCTGTCTGTCTGTCTGTCTGTCTGTGTCTATGTGCATATGAAGGTCAGAGAAAAACTTGGTGGGATCAGTTTAGTCTCTCCACCTTTGCACAGGTTCGGGGTCTAGCTGAGATCCTCAGGCTTGCAAAGCAAGTACCTTACACACTGAGCCTTGCCCCTCACCCATCCACCTATACTCCCTGAGCCAGAACCGCATACTGAACCTGGAGCTTGCCATTTGGGCTTGACTGGCTGGCCAATGGGTCCCACCTGCCTGGCTCACGGCCCCCATCCCCGTGCACAAGTGCTGGGGTCACAGGAATGCACAGCAATGCCCCCTTACTTTCTTTGGCAAGGCCTCATGTATCCCAGGTTGGCATCAAATTCACTGTGGAGCCAAGAATGACATTGAACTTCCGATTCTCCTGCCTCCAACTCCAGAGTGCTGGGACTACAGGTGTGGACCACCATATCAGTTTATGGGATGCTGGGTTCTGAACCTGGAGCTTCAAGCAGACTACCAACCCGATGTAACCCAGCTCCAGCATTTGCTGCTTAACTCTTTCCTGATAATAGCAGTTCTTTCTAGAGTAAGGCAATAACCCATTATGGTTTAATTTGCAATTCCCTTTGCAATTAGTGATGTGAAACTTTTTTTCATCTACTTTGAATTGTAAGCTGAACTGAACCCTTTGCTCCCTAAATTGCTTTTGGTCATTTTTTTTTTCACAGAAAGAGGATCCTAACTAAGACAAGAGCCCCAAATTCCATTCTCTTGCACGTGGATATCCAATTTATCAGCACCATTTGTTGAAAAGACTGGCTTTTTTCACTGCGTGTTCTCCACACATTTGTCAAAACTCAGTCTGTGGGACGGTGATGCTTCTTGGCAGAATGCTCGCCTAACATGCCTGAAGTCCTGGGCTCCCTCCCCAGCACTGAGTAAAGTGTTAGCACATGCCCAGTAGAAGCAGGAAGATGAGGAGTTCAAGGTCATCTGTGGTGATATGTTGTTCATGCTCTAGTAAAGCCACTGGTGATCAAAATGCAAAGCTAGCCACAGCCATAGAGACCAGGCAGTGGTGGCACACACCCTAAATCCCAGCAGCCATACTAGCTACCCATAGAGGACAGGTGGTCGTGGTATACACCTTTAATCCCAGGACTCAGGGCACAGAGGCAGATGGATCTCTGTGAGTTCAAGGCCACCCTGGTCTACTCGAGAGTGAATCAGTCTAAACGAGGAACTGTTCACACCTTTAATCGCAGCACTAGGGAGGTATAAGAGGAAGAAGCAAAGGGTCTCGTGAGAGATTTAGTTTCCAGACAGGAAGAGCATTGCACTCTGAGGATTTGTGGAGACAGGAGCTGGAGAGATGGCTCAGAGGTTAAGATCACTGCCTATTCTTCCAGAAGTCCTGAGTTCAATTCCCAGTAACAACATGGTGGCTCATAACCATCTGTAATGAGAGCTGGTGCCCTCTTCTGGCCTGCAGGCAAACATGCAGGCAGAAAACTATGTGCATAATAAATAAATAAATCTTATTTTAAAAAGGGGTGAGATGCCAGGCATTGGTGGCGCACGCCTTTAATCCCAGCACTTGGGAGGCAGAGACAGGCGGATCTCTGTGAGTTCAAGGCCAGCCTGGTCTACAAAGTGAGTTCCAGGACAGCCTCCAAAACAATACAGAGAAACTCTGTCTCGAAAAAAAAAAGAAAAAAGAAAAAAGGGGTGAGACACAACATCAACTTTGGTCTCTCTCACTAAACATGGTGGAAAGGGGGGGTTGGAAGAAGACTCTTAATGACAACCTCTGACCCCCACAAATGAACACACAGGAACATGTACCTGTACACTCACACCACACATCTCACACCACACACACACACACACACACACACACACGTCCGTACACACTCACATACAAGCACACACACACCACACATACACATATACCACACACACCACATACATACTACACATACATACACACCACACACACACATACCACACATACACACACATACTACACATACATACACACCACACACATACATACACACCACACACACACACACCACACATACACACACATACTACACATACATACATACCACACACACACACACCACACATACACACACATACTACACATACATACACACCACATACATACACACCACACACACACACACCACACAATCACACACATTCTACACATACATACACACCACACACACACACACCACACAATCACACACATTCTACACATACATACACACCACACACACACACCACATACCATACACACATACAGAGTGTATCTGAGATTTCTTTCCTTTTTCAGGTAGCTCTCCTTGCACATCTCCCACAGACCCTGGATGATGGTTTTGCTCTACATTCCCTGGGCAGGAAGCAAGGCTGCCCGCTGACAGAGAGAACCCTTTTCTGGGTTCTTCTCTGAGATGCTGAGCAAAACTTCTGTGTGTCTCTGAGGACCAGTGTGGGGACACCAGAATGGTATGTAAATGGATGGCAAAAGTCCTTAAAAAGGGAAGCTCCTTTTTCTTAGAGAGACTTCTCCAGAGATTTCCCCAGGGACTTCTCCTGAGATTTCTTCTGAGAGCTCTCTCCTAAGCTGACTTGGGAAGATAAAGTTTTCTTAAAGCAACCGACCGGTCTCTGTGTCATCTATCCCGACCACCTCGCTACATTCTCGGATGCAGGCCGCACAGCAGGTGCGACAATTGGAGGATCCCACCGAGATCATGAAAGCGAGGTAAGTGAGCCAGTTCATCTCTTTTTCTGGCCAGGGACAGATTGGGAAAAAAAGAAAAGAAACCATGGGGAATAGTTCTGGGAAGCTTGAATTACAGTATCAAGTTAAAAAGTTACTTGAAGGACATGGGACTACAGTAAAGTCTAAAACCTTGGAAGGCTTTTTAAAATGGATTGAACATGCCAGTCCATGGTTCATTACTGGGGGAGACTTAAATGTCCCAGATTGGAAGGATGTTCGCTATGATCTTTAGAGTCGGGTGTTGGTGGCATATGCCTTTAATCCCAACACTCGAGAGACAGAGGTAGGTAGGATGGAGGCCATCCTTGTATATAGAGCAAGTTCCAGGACAGCCTCTAAAAGGATAGAGAGAAACCCAGTCAAAAAAAAAAAAAAAAAAGGCAGGGTAAAATAAGAAATAAAATAAAAAATCTCCAGTCTTTCACCTGATCCACTGAGGTCAGAAAAGTAAAGAAAAACTGAGAGATTTAAAAGACTGGCCAACAAGTAAGGCTATAAGTAAGTATGTATTAAAAAGGGGGTACCAAGCTAGGGGTACCGGATGAAATCTCCAGGCCTTCGCCTGACAAGGTCAGAAAAGTAAGGGGACCCTGAGAGATTGCCCTCAGTTGGAGGGGGTATTGGATTAAATCTCTAGGCCCTTGCCTGAAAAAGGTCAGGAAAAAAAGGGAACCTAAGAGATCACCCTCAGTTGAAGGGTGGATTAGATTAAATGTCTAGGCCCTCACCTAACAAAGGTCAAGGGAACCTAAGATGAAAAGTTGCCCTCAGTTGGAGGGTGGATTGGAGGATCATCCTCAATGGGAGGATAGATTAAAGATGGGTAAAAAAAAAAATGGTAAAGTTAATAAATGAGGTATTAGTATTCAGTAAAGAAAAAGACAAAGGTATATAAAAATGTTTACATTTATATGGGGTAGGTTATTGATAAAAGTTTAAGGTCAATTAAAAAATTGGAAACAGTTAATAAATGAGGTATTAGTATTCAGTAAAAAAAAAAGACAAAGGTATATAAAGTAAAAATGTTTGGTTACATTTATATAGGGTAGGTTATTGAATTTTGTGAGTCATCTCTAAAAACTTTTGGCAAAAGCCTGGCCTTTCCACTTTGCATCTACAGAATTACAAGGAGTGGGTATGGCTGTAGCCCCTGAGTGTAGCTCAAAACTTCTCTAATGAAGAAATGACGAGGGACATACAGGACATTTTCAACCTTTAGTTTTAATTAAAAGATTGACTGGAGTTGTTCTGTTAAAGACGTTTCAGTTCAACAAACTAATCATAACCTAGGCAAGGAGAGATATGTATGCATGGTCTGTGTGTATGGACGTGGCCACGTCAGTATGTATGAAGTGTGAAATGTAAATGCGTGAATGTTGACAAAAGCAACTGTTCTAATTGCCTTGGATATGATTAAAGGGATACTTAAATCCCTTCAAACAGTTAAAAACTACCTAAATCGATTTAGATATAGCCAAAAGAAACATCCAGTCAGTCGGTTAATATTTTAACAAAAAAAATTCAAGTTAAGCCCTCAGAGCCAGTCAGAGAGAGAGAGAGAGAGAGAGAAAGAGAGGTTTTATTCAGGGAACTGTCCTGCCGCTTTGGCAGGCCCCCACCCCCAAAGGTGTCTGTGTAGATGCAAATTAGGCCTTGTCAGCTCAGATGCAAATGAGGCCTTGTCAGCTAGTGAGAGCTACAGGTTAGAAAAAAAAGGACTATTTGGGACATAGTATAGTTTACAATCCTTAAATGATTCTCAAAGGTACTTAATGGTTATGCCCCTTTTAAAGGACATCTACTAATACTTTTAAATAGTGATCCCAATTCACCTAGATAGGTGACTAAGGAGGGTAGACAAATCCTTCTACTGTTATGGTCCAACTTCAACAGTTCAAACAAAATTTAAAAATAAAAGGGAGTAATGTCCCCAGTCTCCACATGATTCATTAAATAATCCACTCCTCATTTAAATATTTATAAAATATAAATGCCAGTGAGGAATCTGCTTCAGACAGATTCTGACATAATGAAAGTTAAATAACTATTACTCAGGCCAAATGGAAACATCCATACACTAGACAGTAGAGAAGACCCTAATTTGGGGTCGAGGGCATGTTTA